TATTATATGTACTTTGAGCGAGGCAGTGATCGAGAGTGGGCGTGAGGAGAGAACAAAATAAGGGTAAAGCGTTCCTAGCCACCGGACAAAATTTGAAATATTGAATTCCTTTCTGTAACTCTAGATTCCCTTTGTCAATATAGAGCTATTTCTCCAAACCCCCAATCCCCGGTAGAATAACTTCTAGCTGCTGGTTACACGACACTAATTATTCTTATTATGCCTTCTCTTTGAACGTGTTGGACTGTTGTAGAGTTCACCAGGACTAAGGACTGTGGAAAGACGTTATGTGTTGAATCACACACACGGGGCTTTTGAAATAGACCATAACCACATAGAAGTACAGTCTTTTGTACTTCGAAGTACACATAAGGAGATCAGTCACTGAGAATACGTTCCTGTTTCCTATAGCCTAATTTGAAAAAAATCATTCAAAAAATGAGAATTGAAACAACTACAAATACAACTATTTAGGTATATGTTATCATATGCATACTAATAGAAAAAAGAGTACCACAGACCGAGTCTAAACATTTTTGATTATGTATGTTGCACCATGGTGACACCAGGCGCTAGTCCAAATATTGAAACCGAAGAATTCCGACATTTTCCTACCCTTGGGCACTTTATATTTAATTGTTTTTTTATCGAGTTTTTTCTTACTTATTTCTCTTTTTCTCAACACATGTTATATCAATTTAAAGCATATTTTTGAGTGGAGGTTGCAGAACACCGTTGATCCGAGGAACAACACTATAAATTTGCAGATTACAAGGACACTAGGGCTTTGGAAGTCACCAAACTTTTTTTCATCAAAAGCAAGACAAATGTAGGGCTGTAAATTTGTACCAGTAACTCCATTTACCCAAAAAGTGACGACCGCCTGATTTCATGATTTCCTGGTATATATTGTGTTTTATAGAATGGTATGAGTCATTTTTTTTTTTCAAATGAAGAAAGACCAAATGTACAAATGTGGCGATATCTTATCAGTGAGTAAGTTATCATTTCTATGCTATGTTGTACCTAATAATAATATGATAAAGGCACTTTACACAACGTTTCCTCTCTTTATCTAGGTGGGAATGGGTACCCGGTTATAGACAGCAACAGACCTTGTAATTTTGTTGGTGTTTTATTGCTCGCACAGTATCCTTCCCGAAAAAAACGAGGATGTTTCTGAGTCGAGTTCTGGGTTCTACTGGGGTAAAGATAGCTGTAAAGGGTATAGCATTGTTGTAGAGCGTGGATATGGTCTACATAACTTCGATTATTAATAACTAGTAATATAAAGATTAGGAACAAACGCACAAAATGACATAACATTATTTATATTTGGGAAATGAAAAGCTACGTATTTTATTAGCCTTATTTATTGCTGACATAATTTGTCAGTACATTGCGTAGGAAATTTTCAGGAAATTGTGTGTCTCATTGTAAACCGTTGTTATCCTGAGTAAATGTGCCAGCAATTCGGCTAACAATTCATATTTTGGAAAATTTGAATGAATATTCTTAAGTAGCCTACTGTACTAAAAAGAGCCTGTAGTGTGATAGCTAGACTTTTTGCCCTTGCTTACAACGGGTGTGAGTTCAGTTCAAGTCTTGGAAGTCTTTTTAAAAAATCTCTGTCAGTGTTTTTGAAGAGTTTTATTCCGTTCAGTTCAGGTGTGCCTTGACAGACAGAAATACCCCACTTCCTCAAAGATGTAAAATGTAGCAATAGGGTCAGGTCATAAAACATGAGCAATAAATCAATCGGTCAAGCCGTTAGGTGATGACACGTCTTAGTTGCTTTCCCTCTGAAGAACGCATTCACCAGGATCCCCAAGAGAATGTTTTATTTGAGCTCAGCTTCCAGTTACTGAACAGTGTGTCAGAAAGGGTCGAGGCAGCCTTTATCTTTGGATTTAATGGAGTTAATGGAGCAACCTGTCCCTGACTCGCCGCTTATAGCGAAGCACCGACAATACCTTTCAGACTGACCACAAAATCACCATCAGTTTAACTAGCGCCCATTAAAATCCGAGATAACCTTTCCCTCGCTTTCATTTCGTCTGCTCTCAGGAATAGTCTCTTTGTTTCCCTGAATGTAAACATAGTAGCATTGGTGAGCTGGTACGTGTTATAAGCTTTGACCACGACCCAAGAGTATATTATGCTAGTTATTGCTTTTCGAACCTTATTAAAGTACCGTAGAGTCTCCATAATGTGAAACCAAATAGGCTATGGATTTCTTAGCTGAGGTGCCCTCAAATTTCTTTACTCAGAAACTCTTTTTTAAACTAGAACAGAAAGTCAAGAACAAAGACTTTGTTGGTTGAGACAAAAGACAAATAGCTTCGAACTGAAGGAAGCAATGGAACATTATCCTAATCTTTCAGACAAAAGAAATAACTAGAGGTCAAAATTCAAAGCATCGTCTAAGACAAACAAATCAAGACGTTTGTGACACCAGAACCCCTTTGGTTTCGACTAAATAACGTGTCAGAAAAAAAATATATTATGCTGCCAACATAATGAAAATAAGTTATCACTTCAGTTTTTGGAAAAGATTATTCAAGATCCCAAAAAACTGACACGAGCTTTCGTTTCCTGGAAAGAATAGATTTGCTAATAATGTTAATTGCCTCCTCAGATAATGTTCATCTCTCTGATTGGCAAGCCCTCCGCCATTACCTCAGCCACCGCGGTCTCAAGAGTGACCCGAGCCCAACTGCTCAGGGCTATACTGGAACACAGTCGGTGAGTAGAAAGACGTCACACTATTAGTTATAAGTAAAACCAAAAATGCCCACTGTAATTCTCTTGGCGTCTTCGTTTCCCATGATTCGTTCCTGGCTTCATTCTCTCTTTCCATGTTCTTCATCTCCTCCCCCTCTCGGCCTCTTTAGTCTTCTAGACCATTCTAAATTGCCAAGGTCCTAGTGAATGAAAGATCAGGAATAGTTCTAAGCAATGCCAATGACGATACAGTCTTTTAGCGAGCGACGACTATGTCCGAACACGAGATTAGAAGTCACTGCTTCGTGGTGACCAGCTATCTTATGTCATAGTATAATATATTTTATGTCTTATCTGCATTTGCATGCAAAAGTATACTCGGCTAACACACACACACACTCACACACACACACACACACACACACACACACACACACACACACACACACAAACACATACACATACACACATGTATGCATGTTATAATTACTATTATTTGCTCTCTTTCATCTGCTCATTTCCTCTTTATTATATTATATTTTTCTCTGTATTACTTGGTTTTGTTTCTTGTGTTATTTGAGGTGACATCTTTCTTTTCTCCTTTTTAATCTCACAATATCCGCCAGCTGTCATCTGGCCTCTGTTTCTTTCTCACATTGGTTTTCTTCTCTGTATCCCTCTAGTTACTTTAATAAAAGTTTAGCTGTATGACCCCATTCTTTGATTCTCTTGATAGCGGGACATTTGTGAAACTCTCAATTATATTTCAGTGTACTTTCCTACATTAACTTTTTCTTTAACCTGAAAATATATTTAATGTATTGCATGAAAGTGAAGGATTACTTACTAAAGATATCTGATAACGTTGTCGGTTTCTCGGAGTTAACAAAATATTTTGTTTATTTGTTTGTATCCACACTTAAGATCAGTGTGTTCAAATTTAAACCTCTTTCATTCGTTAACAGCCTCTGTGTGATTCTAAAGAAAATCAGACACATTATAAAGATAATCCCCCATCTCTCGTGTAAAAAATTTAAATATGAGTTAATAAATAAAGAAAAAAATAAAGAAGGAAAAAAGAAAGAAAGAAAGAAAGAAACAAACAAACAAATAAAATGAATTAAATAAATAGATAATATTGTACGGGTCCCTACTTGATATTCCGGATTTTAAAACTCCAGTTCAAATTTCAACACCATTGTTATATTATGCATTTACTGTCACTGTTTAAAAAAAACAGATGCCCGCTTTAAATTCTTCTCCCTCCTTAAATTTTCCCCCGGTGATCTGCACTGTTTTTGGTTGTATCTATCTATCTATCTATCTATCTATCTATCTATTTATCTATCTATCTATCTATCTATCTATCTATCTATCTATCTATCTATCTATCTATCTATCTATCTATCTATCTGTCTCACTCCCCCCTCAGTCTTATACTTAGCATAATATGTACAGACAGCCAACAACGCCCCCGCCCCCTCGTGCCGGCCTTTTTTGATCAGTGTGTTTATTTATCTTTATTAATCTATCTTTCTCATAGAAGAACCCCCCCCCCCCCGCCTCGGCCAAATCCCAGCCCCCATGCACATGGGCGCTTAATAAAAGACAAAAATACAAAGGCAAACTTGAAGACACCCATACCCACCCACCCACCCACCTTTCTAAATACACCCACCCTCTGACTGGTTACACAAAGAGGTTTCTCATGTGGAGATACTGCTTTAATGTCCCAAACTGAGAAACCAGAAGGGTTAAGTAGCTTGTGACGGGGAAATGGGAAAGGAAGGAAAAACAACTAAAATGGCGTCGTAGTTTCGGTGGTGACCTTTAACCGGAAGTGCCTCTAATCTCTCCGAAGCGAGGCTGTGGAAAGGAAATACAAAAGGCCAATCTTTATTCTTTTAATTTCTGCTGGGTGCAGGACAAATGCAAAGTCTGGTGGGTCCAGCGTTGTGTGTTGGTCCGCGGCTTGGGCGTGTGGGAGGGTCAATTAGTGAAGGGGATAATGAGGAGAGTAAGGAGAAGATTGTACACGAAATAGGTCATTGCAACAGTTTGTGGACCATTGTGTTGGGAAGAGGGAAGTCGATTGTAAGGTCCAGCCCGGTAGGTTACGTAGAACTAAAATTTATATAAAATTCACTATACTTTTCCATTTCCCCCTTCGGCCCAAAGTTGATCCCAAAAACTAAAAGAAAAATGACAGAGTAGTCTCCATTTGTATGTTGGAAGAACAACACAAAGTGTATTGTCAGCAGCTGTTTTTCTAATGCAGGTTTTAACCATGTGGTGCGGACAGCATTGCATCTAGAACTATTATGTCGAAATTTACATTCTAAATGTTGAAAAAAAAGCAAACAAAAATACGTTAATGTTGAAAGAATGAAACAATTTCTTTCTCTCCCTTAAAAGAAAAATGCTTTCTGGGCTTGAAACGTTTGAATCATTGGAATTAGCATCTGTCTCTAGGCATGAAATGTTCTGATGCCAATCATTTTGAAAGCACCCAGTTTTTGGTCGGAAAACGTGAGTTTGTACAATACAAATTAAACCAAAATTCTACAGAACGCGTCATTAACTGTAAATATTTTGGGCTCAAAGAATTGATTTTTATCAGCTTTGACAGTTATGAAAAAAACCCCCTAAAATCGGATATTTGGAGTTGGTACCAGATAACACCCAGCTCTTGCTTTTGCAAACCAGTGTATGTGAAATAAAACGTATATTATTAAAATTTAACGCAGAAAAGGAATTAATTTGAACACATGTAGTGCCTATATTTTTCAGAGTTTGAAGACTATCTAACTTTAAACGTTAAAGTATGCGGAAAGACATAATGGGATAATGCATTAACAGACGCCAGCAGGTCTACGCCTTTAAGAAGAACAAAACAGAATAGACTGCTTCAAAAATAAATCGCTGACACTGAAATGATTAATCTAAACGCACGCATTATCAGTAAATAATGAACCTATAAACGGGACCAAGCCAGATTTTTAAAAAGTTAGACAGCGCTTGAAATCCCGATAAAGTTGCCAAATATTTCCAAATGTGCGTTCCCAACCGTTGTCCCCCTCGTTAATAGTTGCGTGATCCTTGCGTGGGTAGAGAAACAGGGAAGTTTTGTGTGGCAAAGCTGACCAGAAGTTAACTCGGGCTTTATTGGAGCTGGTCTTTCATTAGTCGGTATTAGCACGCTCTTGTGAGTTTTCTTTAACCGGATATTGAAATTGCGAACAGACGTTAGAAGGTGAAGAGAGACAAAGATCGAGAGAGGGAGAGAGAAGGGGGGGGGGAGAGAGGGGGAAAGAGAGAGAGAGGGAGAGAGAGAGAGGGATAGATAGAGAGAGAGAATGAGAAAGAGAGAGAGGGATAGAGAGAGAGAGAAAGAGAGAGAGAGAGAGAGAGAGAGAGAGAGAGAGAGAGAGAGAGAGAGAGAGAGAGAGAGAGAGAAGTTACCAAAAGATGAACATTAAGTTACATTTTGACACCACAGAAAACGTCTTACAGTATGGAAAGCTATTTTTGTAATAACTGTTATTTTCCTTTTGTGGTTATTTACACAGACTCAGGGGAAAAAAAGAAAAAAACCAACCCTACACCATCAGAAGTTGCAAGCAACGGCCTCTGTCTTTGAATGAAAGCTGAAGTTTGTTTAGTAATCGAAGCGTTAGTCTCTCTTTTATTACCAAATACTTATTCTGCCAAATCGGCGTAAATCTAACGCTCTCTTTTAGCAATGTTCTTGTTTTGTTCGCCAGCTTTGTGTGGGAGGATGGCGGCGGTAGTGCTCTGGTGAAGGTGGCTTTAGCTTTGAGTTCAGTACTTTGTTTTACTGCTCCAGGTCTTATTTTGCTTTTATTTTCTAACTTTGCTTTAGTTAATCTTCGCTTTCTTAAGCACGTTTTCTTATTCGCTCACAAATCGCAGCTGTAGATCTATGCCAGCGGATTGGGGAATTCCGAAGTATTGAGATAAGGAGCAACTTGGCAGATTCTCTGGTAGGTAAAAGGGGAGGTACATGAATACAATTCTCTCGTAGACTCGCTTGAGGAGTGAAAATACAATTCAAAAGTAGTTGTTTCTACGCCCCCATCACCACAATTTGGATAATTCTGGAGGTGAGTTTCTAACTTTGCCTGTTATAATTTAGATAATTCTGGAGGTGAGTTTCTAACTTTGCCTGTCACAATGTAGATAATTCTGGAGGTGAGTTTCTAACTTTGCCTGTCATAATTTAGATAATTCTGGAGGTGAGTTTCTAACTTTGCCTGTCATAATTTAGATAATTCTGGAGGTGAGTTTCTGACTTTACCTGTCAAGGCCAGCAGGGCTGTGAGGGATACACCATCACAGCAGAAAGACCTAGATACTCGATAAAAATTTTTTTTTTTTTTATCCTACTCAGGAATTGAAACGGGTCTTCTGCGTACGACAGCGAAGTGCATATTAAACCACTGCACCTCAGACACCGGTCTTGTAGCGCGGAACAATTTATGGGTTTTTTTTTTTTTAGTGTTTTACATCGCTCGCAACTAACTGCAAAAGGTCATATGGGCGTGCGGGACACATTAACCCTATCCATACGCCCTGGGGTCATTTCGTACCCCCGGGGTTGTATTCTTCACATTTTGGAATGCTTCTAGTACAAAGATCTCTTTGAAACTTGCAGTATTTCTAAAAAAATCATTTTGACAGACTGCTATGCAAAGCGTACGGATGAGATTAACGAGTACACTTCCTCTTTGGAAAGTGGTGGCACAGGGTTACCCACGTTGTATATGTATGGATACGATAGTAAAACACGACGTACTTAGGAGATTTTGAGTTTCGCTCTGGTGGTGCCCGAAGCATATTCTTATCGATTTTGTCCACCAAGGGATCTTTAACGTGTGCAACTTGCTCACGGGACCTCCGAGATTTTTGGCCCTTTTTCGAGAAGGCTAGGTGTAGATCTTTCCTACCATAATATCAGGGGTGTAGTTGAAAGAGAGCAGTAAGAAGGAGCCAAGTAGGAA